ATCCAAAAATTTATACACTGATTTTAGATGCTTGTTTCAATAGTTGTGATTACGAGATACTATGGAATGTTGGCACACTTCATTGTCAAGCAATTCTAACATCATATCAAAATTTTCTAGTGACAGATTTAAAATTACATGCAGGGCAAGTTGCTTGCAGTTATGGAAATATGCCGTTCATTTGATCAAATATTTAAAAGAGCATCTTGATGGCATGTATGGTTCACATTTTTGCCACTTGATTAAAAAATTCTTTGCCCCATTCCCTTTATACCTTAATAATATTTTTATCCTATTCAATTCCTTAACTACTAAAAATTTCTTGATCTTCAACAGCCGGCCTGGAGGTGGTAAAATTTATGTTGTATTTGACAATTAGCTCCCTGCTGCTTTAAGAAGGTTGCAGTTTGAGAAGCAGCTTTCAATGGAAAATATACGGAAATTTATCACTGAAGCTGACGGATTCCAACCTCATCTAATTGCTCCTGGACAAGGAAATCGTCGTCTAATTGAATCTTCTCTTATAACTATCAACGGTCCTACAGAAGCAGCAGTTGATGCGGTATGCATGAATTGGGGGAAGATTCTATTTTAAAATTTGTTATCAAGCATGGTTTTAAAAGTTTTTTTGCAACCAATTATGTTCTTTCTTAAATGGCAAGGAAAAAAAAGTAAATTAAGTTGGTTACATTTTTTGTAATTCAATTTTGAAAGTGAAGTATGTCACGCACCTCTTTCAGATAATCAATGAAACCTTCTATCATTAACTTCCAGTTCAACTAATATTCTCTTGGACGTTTCCTGAGTAAACAAGGTTGTTGATCAGTTAGTGCATTTGTTGTTTAAAACTTCTTTTTCTTTCTCTTAGTGACATATATGTATGAAATCCTCAAATTGATAAGTCGCCTTTTTTTTTTTTATTGAATCAGAACCAACACTCAAAATCCATCCACTCACAGGCACTCTTCTCAATGGAAATTTATTTTCACCAAAGCTATGAGATCTATCTAATAACTTGGCAATAACAATAATATTAAAGTAAATCACAAATTGAAGATAATATTGGGAATATGATTATATTTAAGATTAAATTAGAAAATAATAAATTAGTATGCTTTATGTAATTTATGATATAGTTTTGAAGTTATTAGGAGTTATTGGGCTCTCAATTAACAAGTTGCATTGAAGACTATATACCAAACATAAATTTCAGATCAGTTATATCATCTTTCTCCTAACTTCCTCCCTCCCTTTTTCGTATTCTTCCTTCCCCATTTTATTATTGTTCTGCATCACTTGGCCTACTTGCCGATAAAATCCTGAACTTCATCAAAACCCTTTACAAATATGAGTTTTTATAAATTCAGTTTATTGATATGCTTTTACGTTTTCTTACTTAAGTTACTTTCTTTGGTCTTTTTAGTTTGCACTGTACATATTTAGTGAGAGTCTGGTATATTTCTGACCTACTCAAAGTCTACTGTTTTGGATGTATTTCTTGCCTTTATGTGCTTAACAATTTCGTCCTTGTTGCTTTCACATGGCTTACCCTACTGGAAAGATTTATTATGTGGAATTAAATGAATGTTAAAACATGCAATCAGTATCAGCTTTGTTTCAAGCAAGTGGTTGAGATATGGATGCTCAGATACCTTTTTCTTCTTCTTCTTCTTCTTTTTTTTTTTTTTTTTGTGAACTAGGGGAACATGCACTAATCGCCTAAGTTACAAGAACAAACCCTCAACCTCCCATTTATAGGGAAGCTTTCATGCCACAAGGCTGCATGGCCATTGGCATGCTCAGATACTATTAAGCACTAATCTCTAACTCTGCCTTTGCACTAATAACCTTGGCAATGTTTATTTCAAAGCTAAAAAGGAGCTCAACATGTCAAGTGATAGAGTAGCGCCGTCAAAGTACAATCCAGAAAGTTGAGATATGGTCCAATTTTTCTTGTGACTGAAAACATGCCTCCTCTTTTTTTAAGGGGATTTTGTGTCTTGTGAATTGTTACCTACTTATCCTGGAATTTTAATAACTAAATAAGAAGCTATGCAGTATTTGACCTGTAGCTGTTCTCTCCTTTTCTTGTATCTGTTGCTCCTAGTTTATCTGTGGTTCACAACTAGGCCAGCTGATGGTTCATGCATGTACACACACACACACACACACATTGGTTCTCTCAGAGGAATTGAAGCAATATCCTGGTCTCTGGGTTGAGGTAGAGAGTGCAGCAGTTGGATCGTTAGAAAGATTGAAGGAGGAAAGCAAAAAAGCAACGCTACAGCTTGTGGACATGGAGTGTGGCTTGTGACCGTTGACTTCTTTCGCAACCTACCTCGAGGTTGACGAGAGTGACAATCCTGAACATTCTTTATTTGATCGATATAATGATTCATATATTTGGCGAATTGGTAAGTAAAGTCTTGTAAATCAAGCCTTTCCTTATCCTTGGGAATATCTTCCAAATGGATTTTTAATTTTTTTGGTTAAAAGACAATTTCACTTTTAAATTATAAATTCAAGAGTGTATGGAATTTTAAATTTATTTTTGGTGTAATGTTCCTTTTTAATTTTTAAAATGAGGTAATGTCGTTATATTGTTAACAAAAGTTAATTTTGATTATTAGTTGATAAAATTACAGGAAATGGCTTGAAAAATTATAGAAAATAACTCAAATTATTGGAAATGATTCAAAAATGTAGAGACAGTCACCCAAAAAATAAAAGAAAATAATCAAGAAAATTTTCTTGATCCTTTTCTGCATCTTTTGATATCATTTTTTGTAGTTTTTTGATTAATTAATAGTCAAAGTTAATATTTATTAATGGCAGAGATAATATTGTACCTTTTTGAGACATTGACGGGGCATATTGCTCCAAAATCAAGTTTAGTGTCTCAGGCATTATTGTACTTACTGATTAGGGACAAATTTTTTATTTAACCCTTAATTTTTTTCCCTTAATACTATACGAGTGTTGGTCATTTTCGACCTCAAGAGTTTATGTAATTGTTATGCCATGAATTTTTCAATCATGTCCCTTCTCATATCTAAATCTTAGCTCCGATCCGACCATGATATAAGTTGAACTCGTGAACCATCCTTCACCCTCTATCTCGGAATAAACAGGAACCACAGTTTTGTCTTATGTCAACATGGTGTGTGCAAGTCTACGGCATTCAATTCTGAAATCCATTGTGTATTGTCAAGTGCGGGAGGCAAAACGAGGCTTGCATGGTCATTTTTTCACAGAGCTAGGCAAAATGGAGGTAATATCTATAAATCGGTGTTTTTTAATTCTTTGCAAGCTGGTTATTTAATGCTGAGATTAGTAATTATTATAAATAGTTGCCAAGTAAATGAAACGTGAAAAAATGGGGTTGCAGCCAAAGCGCGCGTCATCGTTGCTGAATGAAGATCCTGCAATTATGGAACGACGCAGTGGTCTGTCACTGAGGCTTGACTTGTATAGGAGTGCTCAGGCTGAAATTGATGCAGTCGTTTGGTCCAAGAAATATTATTTCGTCATATTTTTAAGGGAAATGTATAGGCCAAGGGCTTACAAATGTTATGTCTTTTCTTAATCTGTTTAGGATTAAAGTGCAAAAATATTTAAAAAAATTTAAAAATTTCTGATATTTTTAAATCAACAATGATTCATAAATATTTATTAACTTTATAAAATAAACTAACTTTTTTCAGTATGTTAAGTTCTGCGGTTAACTCCAGGATACTTTAATGGATTGGAGAATGTTGCTTTCTTTTATAAAAATAATGTATATCCATGCTAAGGAGAAAAATATTCATGAATATTTATACCTTCATCTTTTTTTAAGTGAAATGTGAAGGCCCAATGTCTTGAAAAATAAAAAGTGGTGTATTTTTTTCTTTTTTTTTTCCCCTTTCATTTGAAGTTAAATGTTAAGGCCAGGGGTTTTAAAAATGTGGTGTCAATGTGTCATCATCTTTTTCTTCTTAAGTGAAATGTGAAGGCCTTGAAAAATAAACTTGATGTGTCTTGTTGGAATTGTCATGTCATCTTTCTTTCCTTCTATTTTGGCAAGGATGTCATCTTTCACTGTTACGTTTTTGCTGCAAATAATTCCTAAAAGAATCTAAGTGCCAACAGCGATTGGTTTCAATGCTTATCACTTAATGATTAATTTGGATCGTTCAGGTTAAAAAAATTTCAGTTCTTATTTTATATTTATTAAAATATAAAATATAAAATTTTAATAAATTTATCTTATTATCTAGGTAGATAATATAGATTTAATTTGTACGGTTCAATTTAATATTAATTGTTTTAATTTTTTTTAAATTAACTGTCCAAACATATTTAAAATTAATTTGTTCAAAGTACATTTGAATAATTAATTTATATTTTTTAAAAAAATTAATATTAAATTAGATAATCCTATTGTTCATATTGATGAGAAGGATGATAAGGTAAATATTGTTCATATTTGACAATTTTTTATAATGAAAAGAAAATAAAAATAAAGAATAAAAACCATAAATTTTGACAGTTTAAATGTTCATCAAGTGATGAGCATGATGATGCTTGTCACTTGATGAACACCAAAACCAAATTCGTGCTAACATCATCAAAATAATAATAATAAAATGATGATAAAAGATTTTAGAAACAAAAGAATATTCTAAGATTGCATTTGTGAAGAACACATGCAAAATAATTTTGCAAATTTACTTTCCTAGTCTAACTAATTAAATAGGTAAATCCTCTACATCATACTTAGTTTGGAAATTGTTAAAAACAATAATTTATTGACATGTCAATGTTATTATTATATCACATGAATTGGATTATAACGAGGAACTTCAGGGTTATTTCTAAAGACCTAATATTGTCTTAAAAATATTAGAATAATAAAAAGTCAAATCTTAATATAAATTTAAAAGATAATAAATGTAACCTAGAATCACCTGTAACCTCCCATCAATAAACTCACTTCCCCTTTTCCTCTCTTTCCCCTTCCATTGAACCAAACCAAGAATGCGCCAGGTTGTCACTTGTTGTAAGGAAAACGAGAGAGAGAGAGGGGGGGGGGGGTATATTTCTGGTGACTGCATTTTCTTTCAGCTTGGCCTGCCATCCTGCGTTAGTTGAATGTGCGAAATCAACTGGCTGGAGATAGAGACGTCTCAACGCATTTCGCATTTTCGCCAATCACCCAGTTCCTTCCCATTCTCAAGAGCTTTTCGATCTGCTTTGTCCGGGTAGGGCGTTAGCATACTCTGCAATATCTCTGATCTTCATCTCTTCGTACATCTCTCTCCCTCTTTGATTCCCAGTTCTTTCCGATTTTTTTGTCTTCATTGTTTTTATTTGCTTCGTAAGATGTTTGCGATTCAGAAAGATGTTTTATTGAGACAATTTTTACATGCATGCTTTTCATTACATTTCTATTCGGTCCGGTGCAGTTTGAGCTTCCATATTTGGGGCTAATTATTAACATTTCTTTTCTCTTATGAGTTATCCCCAACGTCGGACTATTTTTCCTCTTGCATTATCATTCATTATTCCTAGTTGATGATTCCAGTGATGCTAGCTTATCAGTCTCACTGGAATTTTATAATGGATGAAGAAATTTGTTTTGCTAGCTTATCTTCTGAAATTTGCTTTGGGAATAATATCAGATGAACAGATAATTTAAAGCTTTACCGGGACAAATCCCTGCACTTGCTAGTCTTTTTTTTTTTTTTTTAAACGAAGTTTTCTGACCGAATCTGTCTTAGTTGTGGTGCTGAACGGAAAGACAACATTGTCTTTAACCTGTTCTTGAAGTTCAACTAGTTTTCTGATTTTTCTGTGCTTTCAAGATCAATGGGGCTAGTTTCATGGCCTTGTGGTCTAAGTACCAAAATGTTATTTCTGTACTGGGTTCTGGAGATCTCAACCTTTACCTAGTTGAGCTTTCTCTTTGTTATGTGAATATTAGGAATCTCTTTTCATCCAACACTTTGCATCGTTTCAGCATCAATGCATTTGCATTCTGAAAAGAAAATTTCCGGGGATTTAGACAACATATTTGTGATTAGATGTTAGAACTTTGACGTCTCTTGTTGTATTTGCCTTTTGATGTATGTTCACACAGCTAATGACATGCCACCATTTTAGAATTTAGATTATGCAGGGCATTAGAAATGTGTTCCTCTTTCTGGAGCTTTTTTTTTTTTTTTTCCTTCCACGTGAAATGATTCATCATTCATGATAAGAGAAACTCAGTTGTCTATTAGATATGCATCGACTTGCTGACATTCTGATTGGCTAAGTATTGACAGACTATTTTTCCGTTTTGCAATTTGTCAGAATCTTTCGAAGACAACAAGGAAGGAGGAAGCAGGGAAAATATAGGGTGTCACATACATGGCCTCTGAGAGGGAATACTTTGACCTCTCAGGACCCTTACATCTAACTTCTGTTGACTGGTATGACCCTTTTAAAAAAAAATCTGCCCACGTTATAAATTTATCATTTTTATTTTGTTTGCAGACTTAACTGAGGTGGGTGCATCACCGTTGTGTGATGTCTGAACTGACTTGTGTCTGGATAATTTTGTACGTTCTTGTGCAGTACTGTCTGATGAAACTCATGGCATATACTTGACATTTTGTTTACATATAATATCAATAAATACATTTTGTGTATTTTAACTTTAATGACTATAATTTTCACCTCCAGGCATTGCACAAAGTATTCAATTTTAGCATAACCTTGGTACATTTGACTTATTACATAGAGCTTCAGTATTGAATACTAGGTTAAACGGTATTTTAGTGCCCAAACTATTAGTCCATGAGGGTCTGGAACTTTAAACTCACTTTTGGTGTAATATTCTCCTTTAATTTTTGAAAATTTTCTCCATCTATTTCTGTATTCAAATCATTGTCTCTAATTTTTGGATTATATTTTGTAATTTTTTAATCTTTTGTGTAGTTTTTGATGTCTTTTTGTCATTATTAAGTTAACTAACAATCAAGGTTAATTTTTTGTAACGGCAAGGGTGACATTGTACGATTTTCAAAAGTTAAAGGAGAATATTACTTCAAAAATGAGTTTAGAATCTCAAACAAAAGTTTAGGGGCCAAATCATTATTTAATTCTTGAATATTGTAGTCGATTACTCCCTCCATTTCTGAATATAAGAGAAAGTGTCACATGGATTTTTTTTTTTTAATAAGCAAAATTACACATTTCAGTAAGCATTTATCACAAGTTTACTAAATTACCCATCATAAAATCATAGTTTTCACTTTTCATTCATGAGACAAAACATTAATGCAAATTTATTTGATTAAGTACAATGTTATTTTGGTCTAAATATTTTTATTTTCGGACATAATTATTACAGTTAACCAACTTTCTTAAACTATATGTTTGTTATATTCTCGTATTTTCAGACATAATTGTTTCAGTCGAGTTGCATGCATTGGTTGTATTCTGAATAATTTGCTGAATTATCCAGGAACAATGCCAATAATCGGATGACTGTTGCTGCTAGTTTGGTCCAAGGTGTTTACATTCTGGAAAGGGATCGACAAGAAAGACGTGAAGGTCCCAATGCTCTTGCATCTCCTTGGTGGGCATTCTTTAACTTCAAGTTGTTACGTCCACTTGTGGATGATGTTGATTCTTCCATCTTTGGTGCGATCTATGAGTTCAGGCCTCAGTTGTCTCAGAGTAATGACGTTTTTCAGAGAACAGTCCCTCGTTATGTGATTGCCTTTCGAGGTACTATAACCAAGACAGACTCAGTTTCTCGTGACATCGAATTGGATATGCACATAGTTCGAAATGGACTTCATCAGACCTCTCGTGCCGAGATAGCTATCCAAGCTGTTCGTAATATTGTTGCTGCTTCTGTGAGTGATTCAAATATCTGGTTGGCTGGTCACTCTCTAGGATCAGCCATGGCAATGCTTTGTGGCAAAACAATGGCCAAGACTGGCAAGTTTCTTGAATCGTTTCTTTTCAATCCACCATATGTTGCTGCTCCAATTGAGAGAATTAAGGATAAGAAATTGAAACATGGGATTCGATTTGCTGGCAGTGTGATAACAGCTGGACTCACCATTGCTATGAAGGTTAAGCAGCCGAAGAATTTGACTTTTGGTGATCCATTTGCTGCTTTGTCTGCCTGGGTCCCATGTTTGTTTGTGAATCCTTCTGATCATATTTGCTCAGAGTACATGGGATATTTTGAGCACAGAAGAAAAATGCAAGAGATTGGAGCTGGAGGCATTGAAAGGTTAGCATCTCAAAACTCTCTCACTCGTTTACTGATGAGTGCAACTGGGAGGGAATCATCTGAACCCTTGCACCTAATTCCTTCGGCATCTTTGACGGTTAATTTAACTCCTTCTGGGGATTTTAAAGAAGCTCATGGTATTCATCAATGGTGGGGATCCGATTTGCAGCTGGAATCCAAGCTTTACAAATACTAGTTCTTATAGGGTTATGGTAAATATATTGGCTGAAGAGGAACTGTATTTTGGCGCCGATTCTGGCTTTGCACGTGAAGATTGATAAGATTGTCTTTGAATTTGGGTGTTGTATAGGAGAAGTGTTAAATGGCAAGCTGGTTACTAGACGTGGATGACTATAAACTCTTTTCTTGAATGATATTCTCCTTCAACATTTCAAAATGTGCATTATGACTCTCACTATTAACAAATAATAATTTTGATAGTTGATTAAAAAATTATAAAAAATAACTAATAATTTTCTTAATCTTTTTTTTTTGGATAATTTTCTCGTCCTTGTCTGTAATTTAGGCCCTTTTCTTTTTTTTTAATCCTATTTTATACTTTTTGATCATTTTTTTTGTGTGAATTAATGATCAAATTAACTTTGATTATTAGTAGAGGTAACATTATGTTGTTTTCAAAAATTAAAGATAAATTAAACCAAAAATGAATTTGAGGTTGAGAGGTTTCTAGATGTATAAGATAATGACTGCTCGTTTTTTTTTTTTTTTTGGTTCTGTAACAGAGTAGGAGGGATGGGCGACTCTACTGTGGGTCTCCCTCTCTTTTCTCCCATTTTTCCTCTTTTTTTGACCTTCACTATTGATTTTATTTTATTAAATAAATTTATTTAAATTACAACGGAGGGTGAGGGTTGGGAAAAGGAGAGAAAAGAAAGACCATTCTGCCGACTGTGCATGGGTTATCTAGCACCTACGAGCGAGGATTAGGACGAGATGTTAATAATAATTGGTTTGTTTTCACAGAACTGAAAGAGTTAAGGAAGGTAGAAAGATTCAATTTGTTCCTAATGTTCTGTCCCGGGTAAATTTCATGATATGGTAACTAATATTGGTGGTATAGCATTTCTTTCTTCTTTTCTTTAAACGGAAGTCGTGGATAATTTTAGATGCTAATTTATATATATACACCCATAAACACAGCCAAAGGCGAATACATCCTTAAAGCATAGCCTAAACTTGCAAGAAAACTCTACCAAAAGTGACTATACTGAGATGTTGCTTTTATCAGTATCAATCATCTCTACTTTGTTGACTACTGATGTGAGATTTAGTAAATTTATGAAGTAAATTTATATATTTAATATTACATTTAATATTATAATTCTCAATTAAATTAAGATATGTGTATCTTTTACTATTTATTTTATAACTGACTTTAGTTATTAACATTATTAACATACTAAAATCCACTTCTTATTTGAATAAATAAAATTTTATTAAATATATAAAATTAAGTATCCAAGTCTCACCCAATTTATAATTAAAAGAAATTAAATCAAGATATGTATATTTTTTATATATTTTTTTGGATAAAATAAAGAAGTTGGATTAAGGTACAAATGCATTCAATTGGTATCCTTAATTGAACTCAATACAATAAGCAAAGAAATGGTCATGAGTTCAGACCTGGTCAATCGTTGATCTAGGCTGAGGGGTTCAATGGTACTAAATGTAAGTTGAGGGGTTCGATCTTGTGTAACAAATACAAATTTAAAGGAAGAATCCATCTCAAAAGACTAACCTATTAAGAGAAAGAATCCTTTAAATTTATAAATCTCACACCACTTATGAGGCTTCTTGATGTTAAACTTGTAATAATGTCATCTCGTCAAGAGCCAATGTTCTTGACGGCTTCACTCTACAACACTTCACTTGGGTTTTTGCTAGTCAGAACCCTCCGTAGATAATCCTTTTTGTGACATCGATCACTCAATGAAAGCATCAATGTAACGAGCAAAAATTCATAAAAAAAGTTCATCTCAAATGATTAATTTATTAGAAAGGAGAGCTCCTTAAATTTGTAAATCTCATATCACTTATAAAACTTTTCAATGTGAAACTTATGACTTCTTGGAGGTGAAGAAAGGCGAATGACAACAAAAGTTGAGGACGAAGAGGTTAGGGTGGAGAAGGAGGAGGTGGGTTTGACTAATTGTCTAAATGTGGTACCCATTCGAGCACAAATCAAAGAGGTGGGTTCAAGCTCTGCGGTTATTACTAGAAATTAAGGAGAGCTTCTCAGTGTCAAGCATTTGGCTTTGAGAGAAGAAAGAGAAGCGGCATTGGTTCCACCCTATAATGTGCAGATATTGATGCATATATTGAATACCTTACGTATCCAAAATTCTGATACTTTAAAATATAAGATACAATATATTTTCATATGCACATATGTATTTATAAATAAATAATAAAAAACATTAAAAATATAATTTTAATTTTAATATCAAGTAAAACATAATTATTACTTGTATTTTTATTCTATTTATACCTAATTATCTATCACTTAATCTCTATTAATAGTTTTTCACCTTATGGTTAGATGCCAAAAGATTATATTTCTACATTTTTTAATTAAAAAGTATAATTTTTATCTTTTTATTGTATCTAAAACGTATTTTTTTTAAGAAAAATATAATCTTTGATTTTAAAAGCAAATCACAAAAATGTATTAGGAATAAAAAAAGATTAATATCGCAATACTCAACAAAATTTAATGTCTTAAAAATAGTTTTAAAATATTTCCTTTAAAGTACCTATTCGCACTTTAAAAGTATCGAATACGTATTGAAAATAAAAATTTTTAAAATTAAAAACTAGTATTTCAATACGTTATGTATAGATATCGAAGAAGTATCGGTATCAAATACAATACAATACTGATACAGATATGTGAGATAATTTAAAATATTGATACTTCATAAATTCCACCTTCACACATGAACTGACACGTGATCAACTAGAAAAGTATTTAACAATTAAAATTAAAAATTAACAGTCAATACAATTAAATTTTGATAACAAGGCAACATTATATCAAATTGTAAAATACTAGGGCAACATCATATTTAAAAGGCTAAATTGCATAAAACTTTATTAAACTTTGAAACAATTATATATAACATCTTTTAACTTTAAAAGTTTAAAATTGACTCCCCTAACTTTTAATTTTATTTTTCAAAACCCCCTATTGTTAATTATGTTATTTTTTATGAGTGTTAAAATGTCATTCAACTAAAAAATATTATTAAATAAAATATTATATTATAGAACTATGGCTAATTAATTTTTTTCTAAATTTTGAATAGTTGAGGCATTGATATAGCCAAAACAAATATTATTATCACCATATAAAATTTTAAATATTTACTTTTGTGTTAGCTTTAGCTATTTTTTTTTGTTATCAATAGTGCATAGTTTTCTAGTATTAAAGAATAAATTAATCTAACAAGGTAATATTTAAAATTTTAAATATTTCAGCCATGTGTATCACATTAATCTAACATGAAAATATAAATAAAAATTTATCTTTAAAAAAAATAAAATTAACAAAAAAATATGGATAAAACTAATATAAACATAAATATTTAAAATCTTCTATAGTGATAATAATATTTTTTTTTGTTATCAATGCCTCAACTATTCAAAAAATATAAAAATTTATTATAAATAGTTATATAATATAATATTTTTGTTTAATAATATTTTTTAATTGAATGACATTTTAACCCTCATAAAAAAATAACATAATTAACAATAAGAGGTTTTGAAAGCAAAATTAAAGTTTAGGGAGGTTAAGTTCAAAATGTTAAAAGTGATGAAAGTTATATGCAATTATCTTAAAATTTAAAGGGATTTTATATATTTTAACCTATATATATATATATATATATAAAATTTAATGACACTGATTGCATTGGTATAAAAATTTTGAAAATAGACTTGTATCTTAATTGAAGAAACAAATAAAAGCAGGAGGATAGTATTGCCAACACCATGAAGAAAAAAAGGGTTTCAGCTATTGATAGCAATCAAATTAATTTTCTCATAATGGGAGCAGCCATCATACGGCCATACCTTGTGGGTTAAGAAAGGATCATTTTAAAAGAGGATAATTCATTCATAAATGGAAGAAAAGGCCAAAAGGCCGCAATGACTGTCGGTTTGACAGGTATACAGTAGAATGACAAGTCCGCCACCTTTGAAGACGTGGCGACACAATAAGTAACCACGTAATTCATAATGAATTTATAAATAAATCAATTAATAAATTATTTTTCTTTAGAAGTCCTTTCAGTGGCAGTTTTCCATTTTGATTTTATTAGACCTGCTCAATGAGACAAATCACTGAGATAGTTGGTATACCTTTAGCGCGCCCGCTCTTTGGCTCTTTCCCTGTCTTTCTTTCTTTTCTTTGTTACTAATCTTTCCCTATCTTTTTCCTCCTCTTCTTTCCAGCACAATTATAATAATGTCAAATGGGAGAATGAGAAAGAGATTTTAAAAAAATTAATTAATTTAAATTAAATGTTAAACTTTATAAATTTACAATTCAATTATTAAATTTTATAATTACATTTTAAATAAATTTATAATTTAATTTTTAAATTTTAACATGATTAATTTTAATTTTTATATTAAAATTTAAAATATAAATAATAAAATTAAGAGATTAAATTATAAATTTTTAAAATTTATTTAACTTAAATTAATTAATCCTTTTAAAACTTTCCTGTTATTCTCCCAATATCAAATTACTACTTTGCTACTCAAATTAGGACTAAAGGATAAATTTACTCCACCAAATCTTAAATTTATTCATCTTTAACTTTAAAAAACGATACACTATTACTCTTACCAACCATTACCAACTATTAGTTGATCAAACAAATACAAAAAATGATACAATATTAATTTATTTTTAATTTTGAATCTTTTTTATATTTTTAAAATTTTTTTCCTATAATTCTCTGCTCAAAATAACCATGAACAAGGACCATATTATATCATTTTTAAAAATTATTTAAAAACTATGCACCAAAAATGAATTGTAAGGTATACCAAACACTAATAAAAGTATAATTGCCCGGTAACCCTTCAAATTATCATTGTCCGATTGATCTTTGTTTGAGGCAGCCAAGTAATCAGTTACTTCCTATTCCAATATGCTATCAGTCAATTGCATTATGAAGCATGGCATCCAGGTTTGCTTACTTCCCAATTAAGCTCATCAATGGAAAAGAAGGCAAAAGCTCCCTCGTTCCCACCACACCCCACAAAACCCTTTTTTCTTTTCCCTAAAGCCTTCCTTCTCCTTACAACCAAACAAGTAAAGAACATGATCAAGTGTTGAACCAGAATTACAAAACCTAACATTCAAGAGGACAATCAAAATCCATTTTTACAATTCCATGCCCAACTCAGTATACAATCATAGCTCAAGTCGCAAAAACAAAAAGAAAAATGACACGGTTAAGTCCAATGACTAGCAATTAATAACTACAGTTTTGCATTGATTAGATTAAAGGCAAATCAAACAAGAAGGAGAAAGAATTAGCAGTGGAGACCTAAAACAGAGCCATCGCTCACGCCAATGGCAACTCTGCATCCAGCCTTGGCCTCCACGCGATGGCTGAATAAGTACAAAACCTTGACCCGACCCGCCATCTCCATCCTGGACTCGATTTCCATGGTGGATCCGACCTTTACTTCATTGAACCCATCGGCGGAGGGGGTGGATAATGGGAAAGATTGAACGGAGAAAGTGGCGGCCATGCGTTTGGTACGGCCGGCGTCGATGTGGCCGGCGGGGATGAACATGAAGCCGACCTGGTTGCCGGAGTAGAGAAGCTGAAGCGAGCTATCGTAGTGGGTGAAGAGGGCTCTGTTGGGATTCTTGACGAAGGCGTTCTGGGAGAAGGTGAAACTGACGGAGCCGTTAGAGACGGAGAAGGAGGGAAGGTGGACGGCGCTGATGGAGATTTTGGGGTCGTGAGGCTTGAACACAGTGAAGTAAACAAGGAGGACGACGATGAGAAGGAAAATCAAGAAGACGGTGGCGACGAGACACGAGGCGAGGTTGGTGCGTCCCGAAGAGGAAGAGGAAGAGGAAGAGGAAGGTGGCCTCTCTCTGTGAGGCTTGGCCATAGCAGAAAGAGGAAAGTGGAGTTGAATAGCTGATTTTGGAGTTATAAGTAAACAAGTGCCTCTCGCATCATAATTTGCTTTGTGATTCAAAGCGCAGAGAGGATTTTTCCTCTCATCTTTCTTCAATCTTCTCTGTAATCTGAACCCATTCTCAGCGTGGGGGCACTGATAGTTAATGTCAGTCCCACCAACATCTCTTTTATTTTTATTATATACTCGCCCTGGAGTGGGGAAATTATTTGGGAAGATATTAATCACGGATCACCATAGATAATTTATAGCATTCAAGAAGCGTTAGATTCTAAATTTTCACTGCACTTCATTCGTTCTTAAATGAAATTATTTTTCTAAGTTAAATAATTAAATTCTTTTAAAAGTTTAAAATAATAATAAAAAAATCATCTTCATTGTTATCTCACGAATTACACTTTTACATGCTTATATTAATAAATTTTAAAATAAAAAATTATTTTATTTTTATTAAAAATAACGATCATCAATCACAATTTTTATTTATTTAAAAATAAAAAATTATAATTTATAAAGTATAATTTTTATTATTAAAAAATAAATTTTTAAAATAACAAATCACAATAACATTTATTTAAAAAATAATAATTTTTATTTAAAAAATTACACAAATTAAATAAAAAGTAAAACTTATTAATAAAAATAAAATAATTTTTTTAATTTTAAATTTAATAATATAAAAATTCTTAAAAATTTTAATAAAACTATAACATTTTAAAAAATTAAATTATTATTTATATAATTTAAAAAAATTTTAAAATAAAAAGTATTTTTAAAAATAATACATTAATAAAAATAATTGAAAAACAAAAATTTTACGGTTTTCAAGGTAAAAATGTAAATTTAATTATAAATTATTTTTTAAAAGGTATTAAATATTTTATAAAATATGGTGCTGCAAGATAAATCAAAACTATGAAAATATGGCAATTATAGCCTACCATCGATGTACTCCTTACATCCGTTTATTCATGGGAGAAGTTGAAATAGCTGGGAGAGAGAAAGGCTTTCATTTCCCTTTCCTCCTCCATTAACATGGCGCACCAGCATCACTGTCCTTACATGGCACACACCAACATAGCCCTCCAATTTGCTTCTCCATCCTCTACCTCTCCTCTCACAATCCCTCTCAATCATATACTCATCCCTCTCAATCTCTTCCTGATCCCCTCTTCCCTTCTCTCTCCCCTCTTTCCCTCCAGAATTTCTCGTCCTGTTCCACAATCTATTTTCTTCCACTCATCCCTTCTTTCATTAGTAGTGCCTTTCATTTCTCTCTCCTCCTTCTTCCAAGTTCTACCTATAGTCAGTATAAGGAATGTTTCTCGAGCTCATGTACGAGAAACTCAATTACAAGCTTCTCCAAAAAGATCTGGAATGAGATTCTCCAATGCTCTGTTTCTTGGTTTTCTCAACAGGGGACGATGAGGGAGTCTAGCTAGTGCAAGGAGGTTCACCACAAAGGGTGTGTTCTCTTTGTGAGGATTGGCTTTGAATTTGGATTGGAAGGATGACACCGTTGGAGAAAAGATCATCTATAGAGGATGATTCAGAGTGAAAGCTGTTTAATGCCGAATTCAGAATTTGAGTCCATTGTCATCAGTAAGGTGCTGCAGCAAGGAAGAATGAGATTCGACGAGAAATTGAACATGTCTTTGCAGCAAAGCAAGGCGTTAATGACGAACCTGCCATCCTTATCAGAAGCACCGTCCACCGTCAACAAGGGTGACCGGCCCCCCTAATTTTTTTAATTTTTTTAATAAAATGTAAACGTTGTATATTTTTGACTTACTTAGTTTGATAAATTATAAAAGTTATAAAACACTAAATTAAATTTTTATTTTAATTGTATATATATTCTTTTTTATAGAGTAAATATTTTAATAACTTGAAAATATGATTATCATAAAATTTACTCATTTTCAATAAGATAATGCTATACATGATTTTAAAATATTAATATTATTTTATTTTTTTATTTTATATTTAATAAAAGAAATTGTGAAAATTATTATTAACAAATTTTGTTAAGCATTATAATAAAAATTTCAAGATATATTAAATTTTATGTGTTCGATATTTATCATAAAATCTTATTCATAAATTAAGAGATTTGATAAAAATGTTCTTCTAAAAAAATTATTTTTTTTAAATAATCAAGCTATTAAAATTTATATTATGAATGGTTTTTACTCTAATATAATTTGATCTCATTGACATAAAGATTTTATGACAATTGAGCATTATTAATGTGTTGATATATTTGTTTACTAAAATTATTAATTAAAAAAATTATATATTAAACTCAATAAGAAAGTAATATAGCTAATTACATTGAATAAAAATTTAGATTTTAATCATGTATTTAAATCATTGAATACTTATAGAGATGATAAAATTTTCACCAAATTAATGATAATTCATATTGAAAAAAAAATTGCTAAAATATTTATCATAAATATAATAACTAATGATTTTTATACATGAAAAATCGATGAGTAAAACTTTATACACACACACACACATATTGTTATGCATGTTAAAAATTAAATATAAATATATATGTTAAAATATTTATATCATGCTAGTGATAAGTGTGTTGGATTACTTCTACTAGTAACAAAGCAGCAGCAGCAACAACAACAACTATCCTACTAAATGAGATCGGCTACATGAATTATACGATACTAGTATGCTCTATCATATATCAAGCTTTTAGAAATATTGTCAATTAAAAAGCCATGATCAATAATTTTAAAAGTATTCTCTTTAACCTTCTTTTATCCCTATTAACATGACTCAAAATTATCGATTCCACTTTTTTTTTAAGTGCCTACCATGGTCTTATTTCTACATGTTCAAATTATCTCAAATAATTTTTTATTATTTTTCTTTCAATAGGTGTGATACCTATTTTTTCTCGTATGCCCTCATTTTGAATGTTGTCTTTATGTCCACACATCCATCTCAATTCTCTCATCCCTGCTACTATACTTTGATGCTCTTGCTATTTCATTAAAGCTCAACATTCATTATCATATACAAAGATGTGGATAAATGCCTGTTACTCATAAATGAATGAAAGTTTATAATGCTATGTTTTTCACAATTAATTATTTATTTTACACCACCCTATAATATAAAACACCTAGCACCCTTTGAAAAATAAAATTATAACTAAATTTCCTAGTTTCAATGAAGTGATTAAAAATAACTGAAGGGATCATCATCATCATCATTTTTCATTATTATTATTATTATACATAACTGCTTTTCCTCTCATTGATTTGCAAATGATTTTCCTTTTACTTTTAAATTTTAGTACAAGTCTCCTGACTTGAATCAAATTTTATGACTTTTAAAAAAAATATAAAATGATCAGAAAATAATTGGAATCCTAGGATGTTCTTCAGCTAATAAATCCATATAACTTTTAAAATCTATAAAAAAATGTCTTAAACATCTAGTAAAAACAGGAGGTAATTGCATGCTTTGCCGGAATCTGGCCACAACAAAAATACAAACAGAAAAAACTACCCAGACAGATATGTATATAATGGAACACGTTAGCACACAAAGGACCTAAAGCCATTATATTACGATCGATTTCCTTTCACTCAATGTAGTATTTACTGTTTAGCTCGTACCTGTACCCTATAATACCCTACAATAGTTTATTGCAATCTTTGCTACAACTTTAACATCACATGGTAAATTCTCAAGTTTCCAGCAAATACTTGTAATTGCATCATCATACATAAAAATACAAGTGTACTTCTACTGGAGCATTGGGCTACTTAACATCAACAATGGATATTCTCTTTTTAACCCGTCAAGCAGATGAAAGAGTAACTAGTTCAATTAAATTCTTTCGATCAGTCTAATCTCCAAGAGTCATCAACTGTCAACTTCCTAGAAAATTTCCATTGTTAAGGATTTCATAGAGCCTTACTGCTATGGTAAACGCCAAGATAAAAGAATCGTCTTGAAGCCACTCTAGAAATCTGCATGCGCTTGAACAGGACAACGCAACAGCATTCTCATCCATGGGAAATTTATACAATATTTCTTCTTGCAGGCCTGTCAGGTTGTCACAATATGCTATTGCAAGATCTTAATTAATCTCATCATGCAATCAGAGACAAAACCAACCAAATATTTTTCCTGATCAGGATACACGCACATATCATCGTGGCACAACATCTGATAAAAATATTAACAGCCATAAAATTAATTATCCCATCCACCATTTTTCTACAATTACTTTGCTATACACAATAAAAAGTAAATCAGAACCTTACCGTGAAATATGAACAACCAAATATAATAATTACTTTGCTATGCACAACCACAAGAGACTTTATTAGCATTATGTATTCCTCCTGAAACACCCATGCTAAGCATGGGATTCGTATCAAAAGAAAATATGATGATTCACTTCATGACAGGTTATTCGTAGAAGCTCAAGACGAACAGATTCATGAAGTTTTTCTCCTTTTTTTTTCTCTGTTTTTTTTTTGGGGGGGGAGGGGGACTCAATACAGAATAATGGATGAAGAATGATTGACTAATTTCACTAGACCGCAGATATGTTTCATTACCTATTCCAAGACATTGACTAAGACAACTGTTTTCCACTCTACAACCAAATAATAGAGGACAAATAACAAAAAGACAAGGACAGACTGGATCCCTCCCGTTAAGGCTTTACAACCCACCAAATATCAGACAGTACACCGCCACCTCATATGAAGAAATATAATCAAGCGAAGCCAACAGAGACAGCATTGGCATTTGTTTCATGGGAAAATCATTTTTTCTCCATCCTCACCCTTAACTTCATTTTTCCTCCTGCAACAAAAACTCCACATTTTCTGCCAAGTTAGCAGAAAATCTAATCACCACCCACCATCCTCCATAGCAATGCAGAACAAATAAATAAAAAATGAAATGGAAAAAGAAGACTTCATATTGCTGACAAGAAACGCAGACAGCTGTACTCAAGCACTTGAGCCCAAAAATGGTGATGACCCGACTCATGGTATGCAATTGTGACTCACTCAACACGCAGATGCATGCAAGAACAATGACCCATGAAATAGCAATTGCCTCAAAATGATATGGCTCGACTGATAGACAACTTGGCCCATTCAGCAGATTCCTTAACCAAATGATCATCAGATGACAAGCACTCTTTGAGAAAGTCTTTGCTGGACACAGATTGCTGGATCAAGGGTCCCGCATTACTACCCAATGTATCAGCTAAATCTCCAAGGACACCAATTGCTGTCTTTGTCACAACATCATCCCTGGACAGAAAAAAGGCAATAGATCAAAATTTAGAAATTTAAACGAAAGAATAGCAAATATAAAAATTTACTTACATGTCCTTCTCCATGTACAAACTATCCAAAAACTGCAGTATATAAGGAGCATAGGGCATCAAGAGTTGAGTCTTTGGGGAACCCTTAAACCCTTGGAAGATCCCTGAGTATGCCTCCAAGATTCCATTTCTCAAGGAATTTGTGTACTCTATCATATCATCATCAGCACCTGATGTGTGAGCAGATAGTTCAGCAGCACTCTGAAGCATGGGCATGGCATATAACAAGTACTTTTCAAAGTTTTCACCAATTGCCAAAGCAATGTCTCCGAAGCAAGAAAATATAGGAGGCTTCACAGACCGATGCAGCTGGTTACTTGACAAGTCCTTCAAAAGTTGGGTCATTATTCCATCACAATAAGGCAATATCTTATCCTCCAAGGCCCTACATACATCACCAACGACGCCTACTGTAATGGCACAAACCTGGTAGTCCTCAAAATTTTGTAGTCCCATCTCCAGATACTTGTAAAATTCTGGCATGTATTTAACAAAATCTGATCCTGTTGCATAAGCCAGAGCTCCAATGGCAAGCATAGCCTCCTCATGTGCTGTGGCGCTTTGAGAAGCAAAGACTCTTAGGAACAGGGCCATCATTTGGTCAGCATACTGCACGAAATGATATTTTGTTGGCTCTGATGAACCTAACTTTTGTATGGTGACCTGCAAGCAACCACAGAGAAGGCCTTGTAGCTCATTCTGCCTCTCATCAGCTGTAAGGCTCTGATTCTCAAGAGTCTGGTGAAGCTCCATCATGATAATGGGAACTAATTGTACCACCATTGGAGTTGTTTCATCAGTAGAACACCTCACTACTTCATTTAAGGCTTCATAGGCTGCCGTACGAAGGCGTGACTCTCCAGCATCCTCTCTGTGAGTAACAGTAAGAAGTGCTTGGACAATATCTTGAAAAAAGGGTGTCAATGGAGAGGATGAAGATCCAGCATCCTCGTAGCCTTGGGCAAGAAAATAAAGAGCGCCACATGCCTTCTCAGCAACATTGGGAACATCTTTCATGCTTTGAAGCAACACTGTAATAATCTGTTGACAATTAGCCTGAGTAATAATTGGTGTTTCCAGAGCTGAGCCATGTAAAAATTCAAACATTCGTCCAAGAGTCCAGGCAGTAGTATCCTTTACATGATTGTTTGGATCCTTCATTAATGCAGTGAGCATAAAGTTCAAAGCAACATTTACAAGTGGTACGAGTTTATCAGGTGATGGTCCTTCAAGAATGGAGCCAAAAGCATACGTTGCAGCTTCCCTTTGCCTCCAATCTGGTTTTGTTATATTCTCTTCAATGAATGGCATAACCAGAGGCACAATATCATCACCGACTGTTCGAGCAACCAGGCCCAAACATGTGCCACCAGCCATAGCTATGTTCCATGCGCCTTCATCTTGATCTTGATCCTCTTCTTGCTTTAATAGTGTCTCCAATAACATGGGGACAAGAGCTGGAAGTGCTTGCTTAATAAAGTAAAAGCAAGGAATATCAGAATCACCACTAAAATCTCCTCCGTATTCTTCTAGTATATCTATTTCTTCATCACAAATTGAACTCCAGAACTCAATAGCTTGAAGTGCAACTGGCTCCTCATCTTCTTTCACAGCCTTGGCAGCAATGTTGAAAATATCTTGCATATAAGGAGCCAGCTTTTCATAGTATGTTGACGAAATGGCAACCAAACACTCAAAAGCTGCTCGTCGAATCCTCACTTCAGGGGAAAGAGTAGCCTCACAAATAACTCTCATTATGTAGTCACACTCCATATCATTCGAAAAATTTGCTTGAGCAAAACCCAACGCATTGTATAAAGCTTGAATTGCAGCAAGCCTGACATCATTATTAGTTTCAGAAGAATTCATGCCCTGAACAACAGCTGTGAGTATCTTATTTACATGGTCCTGATCTACCACATCAGGGGAGACTTCTTCACAGATGTATCCAAGAGTCTCGAGAGTTGCCTGCCTTGTAGGAGCAGGAAGTTGAGGAATATTTGATAAGAGAGATCCTATCAGTTCAGGCCATTGCTTGTGTGGCAACTCAATACCAGCAACCTTTGCAATAACTTGTGCTGCCGTTGATCGAGCATCCAGAGAAAGGGAGGAAAGGGTCTTTAACAAGAATGCTTTGATCTGGGCTCTGACTGTTGGATCCAATGATAACCATCTTTGGACAAATTCTATTTTTCTGTGTTGTTCTTTTGCATCCAGGGCATTCTTAAGAACTAGACCTGCAAGCTTTCGACTCTCTGCAGGCTTCTCATCATTTGCCAATTCACCAGCAAGAGAAAACAAAAAACTTGGAAGATTCTGTTCCTGAAACTGTTTCAAGTTTTCTTCTGCCTGTTTCCGTACAGTGCCATCCACTGCTTGTGCATTTAGAAGAATTTGAGTAACCTCCATAGCCATCTGAACCTGAAGCATACAAATCTAATCACAAAGAAGAGACGGAGAAAGAACCTCACCTGCTCAGCATCACATGTGCAAATCAAGACAAACTGGAAATCATAACCAATAAGGTACTCAACAAAATTGACAGACACCACAGAGGAAATTGAACTTGACCACAGAAAGAGGGTAGAAAGAATATAGCAAGGGGCAGACAATGGCGCAAAGTCATGCACTTAATATACTATTTATAATCAATTAAAATTATAATTCTTTTTTTTTTTTGGTGCCGCTAAGTAAGATATTAGTATGAAGGATCTTGAAAGTTCAACACAGGAATCTATATAAACGTAATCGCAACAAAAAATTGACCTAAAACTAACTGGAAAAGAATAAGGTATGCCCTTAAAAACTTCCATACCCCACTCCAAAAATGAGAATTCTTTTTTAAAATAAAATATACTAGACTGATTCAGCCGTTCCAAAGACAGCACTATCAATCCTAAATACTATCAAAGTCCTAGTAATCAAAGTGTTATACTCTTCCAAGAGAAGTTAGCCCCAAAAAAAGGGTAGAGTACATAAAATGAAAAAAGAACCCAACAACCACAGCCCGAGAAAGCAAGAACGGCATGTCGGCGGTGCAGTGATTGAGGGATAAACATTCATCACTGTTAGACTACTTAAATAATTCCCAACAGATCGGAAATGTAAGGATTCAGGTTCGCTGTCGTTGTACACCTTTCCCCAGCAAACGCGCAAGGCTCCACTTCACTTGTTCTTAGTATTAGTTACGACAAAATCAATTTTTAAGAAAGAATCAGATTATGATCACATACATCCGAGTTAGTAAATAACAGAAAAAGCATCAACCCTAAGTCACCCAACACAGACTCGAATACTGGAGAACGACAATAACAAGAGGACTTACAGATAATTAACCAATAAAGCAGTGAACACTGAGAAGAGTGATGAAGCAGTTGAAGAAAAATTCAATGCTAGAAGAAGCGCGGCGACTCTGAAACCCTAGGAGGGCGTGAGAGTGGGACAAGCAGAGACGCCTATGCTGAGAATATTTTCTTCAAATACGTCTTTTTTTTTTTAAATATAATCATAGTAGGCCGCACTCAGAGTGACAGAAAGCAATAGCGTCCGTTGATTTAGATCCAATAATCTACGGCCCAGTTTGAAATGTATCTCTTATCATTTTCCTGTGACTTTTCTTTTTGAAACACGCGACATCTTCAGCGCGTGGTATCGTGGGGTCCGGGGATTTTTGGGAATGCATGCGCAACTTTCTAGCTTACCATATCGGCGAAGGAAAAGCTTTTAATGGTTGCATTTTACACGCGCTACGGAGGGCAGTGTGTTAACTGGATGGTATAAGACCGTTATGACTGCTATCATCTTATCTTCTAATTTATATTCGTAATTTACAACTAAGACCGATACCTTCTGATATAGCCAGGAAGTCAAATTTAACAAGTCACTCATTTAAATTTATTTTTATAAAAATTTAAATTTTAAAAAATATTATTTTTTAAGAAAATTAAATTTTAAAGCTCAATCCTAATTTTAATGGATTTTGAAAAAACGGATTTGAACTCAAACGGTCCTTTTAATTTTTTTTATTTTAATTCTTAAAAAATAAAATATTTTTATTTTTTAAATTAAATTTAAACTTTAAAATAAACATTTATGCCTTCGGATTTGATTTTTTATTATTCATTTTTAATTTTTTAATAATATAATTTATATTTTAAAAATATATGACATGTTATACTTGAAATTTTTAACTTTAAAAAAAATTAAAAATAAAAAAATAATAAAGAGTTTATGGGCCAGGCCCTTAACCCTTTGAATAAGGGCCAACTTCAAAAATTATAGAATTTTTAGAAAATTGAGTTTAAGGGTCTGGCTAATAAGGGCCGAGCTCATATTGGCCAAGCCTAGTCATTTCCCACCTCTATCAGTTGATTGCATTTTCTACTTCTTCTTTTTTTGCCTGACTTCAAAAAAACAAAAACAAAAGAGAAATACTTTACTCCTTCCTTAAAATATGTAAAGTATTTTTAATTAAATTTTATCCTAATAAAATAATTATTTATCTTTAAATTAATCTTATCTTTTTATATTTATCCATATTTACACTCTAAAAAAATATAAAGCGGTCTATTCAATACGAGCATTTTTTTAAAAAAGTAATAATTACACCTTAAAAGATTAAAAATATCTTATATTTTTAACATCAAACTCTTTAAAAAATACTTTATATTTTTTAATGGAGAGAGTATGTTTTTATATTTTAAAATTTAAAATTATAAGATATTCGTTAGTAAAAAAAATTATAAGATATTCCCCATCTTCTATTACTTTAAAGACTAAATTATATATTTAGTCCTTTAATTTTATATGAAATTTTATTTTAATCCCTTAATTTTATAAAATATTTTTTTAGTCTCTTAACCTTAACATTGTTGATTTTATCACAAAAAATTTATACATTAAACTTTTAAATTTTGATAAAACATTCTCAAATATTAACATATTTAGTTTAATTTTTCTAAAATAACAATGATTGATACACAAAAATAATCATTTAAAACTAACAATGTTAGGATTAAAAAGATACTTTTTTAAGTTAACATACTAAATTAAAACTTTATATAAAGTTAAAGAATTAAAATATACTTTAGCCTAATTTAAATTTTTATTGGAATTAAGTAAAATTTTAAACCTTATTAATATTGTCTAAAAATTCAATAAGTTTTTAAATTTATCCTTATTAAATATATAATAGGAATAAAATGATAAGCATAGATATAATAATTATTGAGATACCCTATAAATATAACCAAAACAAATACCTTTTTCCTACCCTACAAGTAGGACTAAAGGATTTTTTTTAAAAAGATATTATATTTAAAAAATATAAGATATTTTAGTATTTTTTTAAGAGTAATTAATAATATTTTTTAAAAAAATATTCTTAATAAATATTTGATTTTAATAATATTTTTATATTCATTTACAATTAAATTATGTTATTAAATAAGGGCAAGTAATTTTTAATAATGATAAATGGTTTTTAGGGTGGAAGCTAGTTAAAAATAATTTATAATGTTTGACAAGGAAGGGAATTCATCGGAAGTAATGGTGAGATATTAATACATGCTAATTCTGTAAAATAAGAATAACTCACACTTAAAAATGCGAGAAATATTTTTGATCCAAAAAGAAAAGGGAAAGTGACAATAAAATCTTCCTGAATTATATAAATAATAATATAATTTCTTAAAATATTATAATTTCACTTAAGTCCCTGAAGACTTCTATGTCAATAAATTTTAAATGAAAAGATTATTTTATTTTTATTGAAAATAACAAATTTCAATTACAACTTTTATTTAAGAAATAACAATTTTTATTCTGTAAATTACAAAAGTTAAACAAGAATCACAACTTATCAAGTGTAATTTTTGTTATTGAAAAACAAGCCTCCATAATTATAACTTTTGCTTAAAAAATAATAATTTTTATTCTGTAAATCGCAAGAGTTGAACAAAAATAATAACTTATCAATTGTAATTTTTGTTATTAAAAAATAAGTTTTTAAAATAATAAGCCTAAATCATAATTTTTATTTAAAAAATAATAACTTTTATTTAAAGAATCACAAAAATTAAACAAAAATTTATAACTTGTCCATAAAGGTAAAATAATCTTTTCAATTCACAATTTATTGTCATAAAAATTCGTAAGGACTTTAGTAAAATTGTAATATTTTGATAAATTAAATTGTCACTTATATAATTCAAAAGGATGTTATTGTCATTTTTTAAAAAGAGAATCTATACATCTATACATGCATCTAAAATCAAAGTATAAAGCTCTCGAATCTTGATTTGTAAAAGTTTAAAGTAATCATTGTTTTGAATAATTTGAACATGTACATGTGGCTTAATGAATTCTCTTAAAGATTCATGATTTAAAAAAAAAATGAAGCCAAATATTATTGACCTTTACAAACCAATAGGCCCCTAGGAAAAAAAATTCAAAGGGTCCAAACTAGACATAACACACAAATATACAATAAATAAAAAGAAACAAGGATACAGGCTGTATAGTCTAGACACAAACAGCCCTAACATATCTTAGCATACAGATGAAGATCAAAAGTACTCATAAGAAAGCATGTTAGAATTGGCTTTTGAAGACGGTATGTAGCATGAAGAGTATGTAGATGAGACGATAACAAAGTATCTAATCATTATATATTCTCTTGTAGAATTTTGAGAGCTAAGGCTTTAACATCTAAAGCCATCATTGAGAAAGAGCTATATCTGCAAGTATGAAGATGATTTTACTCATGCTGACACTGTCAAAATTAAAGAAACATAAGGCAACTGGAAGCTAAAAAGTAGCTTTGCAATGTGGATCTCTAAGTGGCTACAAGAAAACTTAAGAGGTCTAAAGTTGTTGAGGTTTTTTGATGGAAACCTTAAAAAACCTATGCTATGTGTTAGGAGGGCAATACAAGAGCTTTTTTCAACTTGCTAGTGAGATGAGAAGAGAATAGACTGTACAACCAAAGTGAAAATAAGGCAATGCCAAAACTCGAAGCACAATGCCTCAACAAACAGTTAAACTTGAGACCATGATCAAAGTAAAAAAACCCAACAACGTTGACTTGCAAATCACACATTAAAGAAGCATTAGAGGCAAGATTTGTAAATTTAAGTTTCTTAGTAGTGTGGTATGTTAAATTACTCTCAAGAGAAATGGTGAAAAACTTCCTTGCAGACGTGGTATATGTAGAAGAGATCAACGCAGAAGGAGCATGCAAAGCGCCACGAATCAAAGGGGAATATTTAGTCGAATTTGAAGTATGGCCTGAGTCTAAAGAAGTTACTGAGCTGGGCTTCAAGAGAACTCCTTTAATGCCATGTATAAAGTATTTTAGACTATTAAAAGACACCACCATTGACTTAAAATTGCTATAGAATTGCACATGAACAGCACTGCCATTCAACTGCTAAGAAACTAAATTCATGCAATAGTGAGAGGAATAGCCCACATGAAAAAATGATAAAAATAAATAACTGACATGTTCAAGCAGGATAGAAACTTTAAAAGATTTGCGTGAAGATTTGAAAATCAAATTGGAAGAAAAGTTAATAAAATCAAAAGATTGAATTAAACAAAAGGATCTAATTGATTACCTATAAGCAAAGCAATATATTTGAAATAAAAATTCTAAAGGAAGATTGTAAATAAGTAACCAAACATGAAAACAAGGAAAAGAAACAAATGAAAAGGGCAAATTAAAGATTTATGTTATTGGGTAAGATGGCACTCAATTCACCCCTTCCCTAGGTGCCAGCTTACTCAAAATCTAGTATCAGAGCTCGGTTTCTGCATTTAGACTTAACAATCAAGAATCCAAGTGGCTAGCTTTGGTAATAGTATTCTTCCAAAGAGTACCAAAATTAACAAGCCTCTAAGATTTAATGGTAAAAACTATACATTCTAAAAAAACAAAATGAGATTATTCTTTAAGGCATCCGATTTAGATTTATGAAGTATTATTAAAAATGGTTCATACATTCCCATAAAAGAGATAGATGGAAAGCTAGTTCCCAAACACAGAGATGAGCTAGATGAGAAAGAAGAGAAGTTGCTATTACTCAACTCCAAGGCAAAGTTGATCATGGCAAGTGCATTAAGCCAACACAAATATTTCAAAGTGTACAATCTTGAAAATGCCAAAAAGATGTGGGAAGCTTTAAAGATTGCCTATGAAGGCATTGATGATGTTAAGGAAAACAAGCTGAGCATACTAATTGAAGAGTATGAGCTATTCAATATCAAAACTTATGAAAGCATTTACGAGATGTAAGTGAGATGTACTTAATGAATGAACTTGCTACCTTTTACAGTAACTATTCTTGAAAGAAGCAAGTTAGAAAGCTGATGAGAGTACTACTTGTAGAATGGTAGCCAAAAATCATTTCCATGAAGGAAGCCAGAGGAGCTTCAATGAGCTCAATTGCTACATTATTTA